GCATTGGAACAGGCTGCCCAGAGAAGTGGTGGAATCACCATCCCTGGAGGGATTTAAAAGACCTGTGGATGTGGCACTTGGGGACATGGTTTAGTGGTGGATGTGGCAGTGCTGGATTAATGGTTGGACTTTATGATCTTAAAGGTATTGTCCAACATAAATGATTCCATGATTCTCTAAAGCCTCAAAATGGGACATAGAGCTTCATCTTTTTGAGGTCACACATAATCACCTGGTGTGACATTAAATGTTCTTCAGTAAAAAATACTTAGATTTGAAACCAGATACCTAGTAAGAAGAAAATTGATTGTCTTTTCATGTGCAGATGGACATTTTCTGGTTTAGGCAGCTTGTGATGATTCAGTCACGCTCTTTAACCCTTGTGCAGTGATCCTAAATCATTACCTATTAGAGTGCTCTGATAGGCTCCTTAATGTAATTACCTCCCCAAGATGTGCTAACTGCATAAAGCACATCCCTGTGCTGACTTATGGAAACAAATTCTGTGTTTTTCCTCTGTGTGTGTGCTAGAATGAGAAGCTCAGGTGTTCGCATTAATAGCATATGAGATATTACATTGAAAGATTGAAATGTAAGCCTGTATTTACTTCTTTTATTTAGTTGCCTATGAAAAAGTGTCGGGGTGCTCTGTTTGGAATGTATTTACAGGACTATATCCAAATTCAGAATATTCTCCGGTAATTTTATAGTTGCGTAGTTTTTATCTGGAAAAGATAAAAAAAGAGGACATTTTAATGCATATTTAATAACAAAACAGCCTTCCTGCCTCAGAAAAAAATTCACCCAGGTGAACTATGATCTAATTTTCTTGTATAATGAAAACAAAATTGTAGCTCCTGCAGCATTATTCTTGGCTCCCAACAGTTCCAAGGCATGCAAACATTACCACTCCAACTCCGTCCTGCAGTTTAACTGGAAGGATTATGTCACAACACAGTATGTTTGTTTTCCAGCTTTTTGTCTGTTTGTCCATCAAGACAGTTTTGTAGAAGAGGTATCGGTGATTGTTGACTTTGGAGGTAGTGGAAGAAAAAATAATTATGGAAAAAAAAAAAGCGGCAGACAGTCCCATTGAAGTAACTGTGCTTCTGTCACAGGAGAATGAATACTCCTTTCAACAAATCTATAATTTGCAGAAGTTGCAAAAAGAAAATAGCCGTAAGGTGACTGTTAACATACTTCAGTTCATCCTGCCAAGAAAGTTAACTTCATAAAGTCATTAAACCCGTGATTACATTTTAAAATATTATTCCCCAGCCATTTCTTCTTAGACTTTAAAATATAGTTACTGTATATACTACTTTCTTTGTAATGTGAAAAATTGTAAAATACACTTATTTTTCATAAACTCCTAATTATTAGCAGAGCTATTTGCGCTCCTATAGTTAAAATCATTTCAACACTTCCGTTATTTAAACTTCTCTTTTTGAGGTTCATAATTTGGCTGTAATAAAACATATATTCATACTCTGAGGTCTCAAATATTGTTTGCTGGTGCTAGGAAATTTAGCCTGTTTTTCTTTAAAAAGCTGAGTAATTTGAATTGTTTGCTGTTCTTCAATATCATCCCAAACAAAATATTTTGTAATGTGGGCTTAATAGTTTAAAAATTAAAAAAATTAGGAGAAGACAAGTGAGTATGTTGGAACTGCTGCTGCCCCAGATTCTGTGACTGGCACTGAGTATCCCTTAGGCTTGGAGAAGGGACGTGGTGGGAAATTCTTGCCATATCTCCCCCGTTGCCGTATAGGAACCTCATCTGGGAAAAGTTATTGCAGCATTTATATCCCACCCCTCATCTGGAGTCGCGGGCAGTGGTGCTCACAGAAACTGCAGTGAAGGGTGAGAGACCTCCTGACTTCAGGGCTGCAGAGCTGAGAGCAGCTTTTCTGGAATGACAAATGCCTGGGTGCTCCGGGATGGATCGTTCCTTTGGTACGGCTTCCTGAAATCCCCCTTCATCCCGGAATGCGGTAATGACTCAACGAGGCCTTCCGCTCCGGAAATTAAGGAATTGGGGCTTATTGCATATTAATGGCAACTCTGGGACAGTCAAATAAGACAGTTTGTTATAATGCTAATTATAGCAAAGCACTCATGTTGTGGTTTGAGTGAGTCAATTATGTGTGTGTTAAACTATAAATACATCTTCCCCCCAACCTCGGCTGCGTGGGACGTAATTTTTATTTAATTTCTTGGATACATATTTACCTGAGCATATCCCGGTTTCCCAGGTAAATATGTGTACTCATTATGGTCTGTTTGGATAAATAATCCATATTTTATAACTGTACAGGAAGTAATTATTTTCATATTTTGCTTTCTTTAAGCCAAAGAAATTAAATGCTGTGTGTCCGTTCCTTAAAATAAAATAGATGCAAAAGTTGGGGCAATACGAGAATAAAGTTTTCATTATTTTGGTAGAAACTGAGAATATTATTCCAGATTTTGATCTTGTGTTTATCCCAGAATAACTCCATTAAAGTAAACAGTGTTATTCAGGATTTACTTAGATGCAAATGGGACGTGAATTTGGCCTCTGCTCCTTACTCTCCCTTCCTTCATCGTGAGGCTCCTGTAAGCAGCTCACACACAATCTGTGCTATAAATGTCATTGTCACGTGTTTATCATTTGGAAAAATAATGTATTTCAGCTACAAAAATTAATATATCTGAATTTTATGGTAAGAAATTTAATGCCTTAGAGAGTCACAGAATGGTTTGGGTTGGAAGGGACCAAGAGATCATCATTGTGGTCCTGTACATTTTAGGGAACTAGAGCAAACTTTCACATCCGATATTTCTGCCATTGTTTTATGTGATATTTGGAAAAGCTGTGTTGTGTTATCACCATGCTAAGGTCAGCTTTTCTAACACTTTTAAGCTCAGTGGGGCCAAAGTCAGCCCTGGCATAAATCCATTGACTGCAATAGATTTACACCAGAGAGGAATATTGGCTCGTACTTGGTAATTTTTTTTTTTATCCAGCTCTTTGTATTTTATGTTAGAAATATAAGTAGCTTGCGTGCCCTCAAACTAATCAGAATAAGAAACAGTTTTGCTTGTGCCAAAAAATAGAACTATCGTTTTTCACATTCTTACATTTTTCAAGTGAGATTGTATTACTGTGACTCCTGAATTCCTGAAATCTCTCTGGTCTTGGTGACTGCAAGGGCCAAGAGGGAGTTTCAAGGGGAAGCTCTGAACCTCTTCACGCAGTGTGTTTTGTGTTGTGAGTATGAGATACAGTTAACGTTTTGTGTGCGTGTGATTAGTGTGGAAAAAAATTAATGCAGCCCAGTATTATGATTTATGGACTGAATCTTTTGCCCACTGAACACTTGCCAAAATGAAAATCTTTCCCCCCCCCTCCTTCTTTGGATATTAGAAACAGCTACTGTTTTTGTTGATCTTTTTAACTTCTGAATAGACCTATTTCAAGTCATAGCAGCATGGGAGCTCAGGTTAATAATATACTTATTCAGCCAGTGATACTGAGTGAAACCATTGCTAGTGTGAGCACGAAGGATAGGATTTCTTTAAATTATTTTCAGGTGCATTAATGCATTTCTAAAGAAGAATATACAGATATTTGAACATAAATTAAATTGCTGTTTATTGATCATGTTACAGGTGGGTATGAATTTTAGTATCATGAATTTTTAAGGGTGTCTCTCCTTTTGATAACTTTTGTACTATGCTTATGGTCGGTTTTCCATCACAGGGTAAACAAGGACGAGAGGAAAAAAACCCTGTGATTAAATCTTGCTTTTTGGACAATGTTTTTTAATTTTGAGGATAAAGTATATTCCTTGCCAGGAAGCATCCTTTCCATCCCACCATATCTACAGCATCACAATTTACACAGAAACGGGTTGTCCAGAGAGGTGGGGGATGCCCCATACCTGGAAACATTCAAGGTTCAGACTGGACAGGGCTCTGAGCAACCTGATCTAGTTGAAGGTGTCCCTGCTCATTACAGGGGGGGTTGAACTAGAGGATCTTTAAAGATTCCTTCCAACCCAAACCATTATATAGTTCCATGATCATCTTGGGAATGGGAGCAAATCCCATTTCTAACCAAGGCTACAAGGTTTCTGGCCCTGTGCTATTTTTTATATGATCCATTAGTGTACAAAACAGCCTGATTTCCTGCACCTACTGAAGGCTGATGGAATTAGTCCCTTAGAAAGAGATTTTTGCTCTTTCCAGCACAATTTGAGGTGTTTAGGGCCTTAAGAGGCAGTGGAGTTGAGGACAGTCCATTGCTTCCCACTCCTTTGGCCACCTCTTACCAATTTTCATGGCATTCCTTGCTCAATCCCATCGTTATCACTTTGACAGCTGAAGGCCCTGCTCTGCTCAATAAGGTTTTTCAATTCCATCATTAATAGAGTTGTTTTTTCCTATCAATTCATTTTCCTTCTCCCAAATGAAATAAGAGCATGCCTAAAAAAGTTCTTCATGTGAGTCTGGTTTGTACTAATGCTATGTCAAGTAAGGGTAGAGTTTCTTTCAAAAAATACTTAGGTAAGCTGTTTAAAATTAATATTTGTTATTCTAAAAAATTGGGAGAGGGATCAGCCACCCTTCCACAGTTGCAGATAAAGTGCTATGGCAAGAATTTGGCATTTTTACATTGCCTGAGAGAATTATATGTTCATTTTCTGCACTAAGGAAAGAAAAAAAAAAGGCTGCAGTGCTTTTTAAAAGCAATCATTTTAAATATAAACAAAAAAGCTTTTGCTTGAGATTTGTCAAAAGTCTTTCAGGCTTTTCATGAAATTGTTTTTCACTTCTTGGCGAACAAGAACCGAGTGAGTGACACCTTTGAGAGTCCCAGCTTGTGTGTTAGTGCACAGCCTGTATTTTGCTATTCAGGACTGTGTAAAATATTATCTGAATTTATTTAAAACAAACCCCAGTGAATAAAGTTTTGAACACTGAAAATGTCATCCTAATTTATTCATTTATTTTAGTTGCAGCAAGCAGCTGAAGTTTCTCAGATGAGAGGAGCTCGAGTCATCTCTGCTGAAGATCTTCTGTTTTTAATGCGCAAAGATAAGGTACAGTAACAAGACAGAAGTTTTTATTTACATAATCAGCTGCTTATTGTGTTTTCAAGTGTTTGCTTAACCTATGCAAAAGGAGTCCATCATCATGGATAGCTTTATTTAAAAGTATAGCTGCTCTGGAGTTGAATCTTATTGTGCACAGTGCAGTCATTCTATAATATTTTAATTAAGTCTTGTCTTTTCCTGTAACTTCAATTATCGATAGATTTTTTTTCACAAAGCTCTAGGGTGAGTAGTGCACCTTAGAGCTCAAAACAATTTCTTAATTAGGTAAAAATATTGATCCTGATCCTTTATATTCGTTTTATTAAAAATCAATAATTCTAATTTCCCCCTGGATATGCAGGGTGTAGATGTGACATTTGACAGTGTGACCATTAGAGTTTTGTCATTTAGACTGTAAATTATCTTTATTTTCTTTTATAATATTTTTTCCTGTACTATATCCCTCTAAAATCTCCAAATTTAGGGATGATCTTGCTTTCTCTGGTAGTAGGTAACAGGTCAAAAAAAAATAGTTTTCTTTCCTCAAATTTCAAAATTCTTAAAACATTATTGTCAGCTATTTTTATCTACATTATTTATTCTTCCTATATCTCCTTTTCTTCCTTAGTTCCTCACTTTCCCTCGCCCTTTTCTCTCCTCTTTGTTTTTCTTTCCTCATTTGATAGTTGAAACCTGATGACCAAAATGATTTCAAAACTAAAAACCACTAACACGTGAAAACCAATTGCAGTTTCTTTATCTGATATGAGCCATAAGGCTGTACTGAAAAGAGCAGTTAATATGGATGTCAAAGTTCGTGGAAATATGCATTTCCAGGCTTGAATTTCCAAACTTGAGTAAAGATTTTGGAGTGCCCTAAAGAAGCCTTATCGCTGAATTTCTCCTTTCTGAAAGTCAAACCCATTTCTGTCCCACAGCAAAGCACCAAGGAGTTCAAATAAACAATATTTAATGTTTAATTGCTATTTACCTTGAGGTACTTTCTATGTATGGATTTTCTGCAGAGTCAAAAATTATGAACATTTTAACAATTATATTTACTGACTAATGTATTGCACATTATAGTTAGTTTAAATAAAAAAATATATTATACTAATTAATGTAAATGTATTTTTTCTCTCAGAAGAAGCTTAGAAGGCTACTAAAATACATGTTTTTTCGAGACTACAAATCTAAAATTGTCAAAGGAATAGAAGAAGATGACCTCCTCGAAGGTAGAAAAAACACATTACTTAATTTGGGAGAGGCTTGATGTTTTATAAATGTGCTGAACAGCTCAATGCAAAGTATTGCTAACTTGCTTAATAGTTAGAGACACAAAACTAGTGTCTTTAGAGGAATTTGTTTGAAAATCTCTGCATTTGCATTTGAAATACTTCTAAAGTGTGCATGTACCACCTGCAATCGAATGAACATTTGTTAAATTATTGTCAAAAGGTTTTGACATATTTAAAAAAACATCCCATAATCTGAAGTCATTGAATACTAGTATATGACCTGGGTCTTTTTTTTTTGCTGTGGTTTAACATTTTGTACTTTGAATCTGTAACTTAAAGAAAGGGAAACACTTCTGTTTCCCCATTCCATGAGCAAGTCACTGATTTTATAACCAATGCATTTAAAGGAAAAGCTCTTTGAATTAAAAATATATTAATTTATGCCATATAATTTACTGGTATAACGTTTTGTTGATTTATATTGACATTAGATTTAACATTTCCGTTGTAAAAAGCTGAGTTAAAACTTATCATAGCAAATCTAAACCTTGCCATACTGTTACAACATCTAACAATGTCCATACACAACTTTTTGTATTTAACTTATTTCCTTTCTCAGAGCCTTTTATTATTTTTTCCCTTACAATGAATTCCTTGTACTTGGTTCCTCTGAGCATCCACACTGATGTTAGATAAACACTGTACTTCTTGCTTTGACTTAATCAAGCTGTGGATAAATTTTTATCAACTCATTTGAGATTTAATTTGCCTGTGGCATTTTATTTTCAACACACATGAAAAGGTATCGTTTCGTGCAAGTAATGTGGCAGTATCACTTCTTATCTGACAGCTTTAATACTTTAGCTTGTGGCACTACTTAAAATGAATAAACAATTTTCCTAAGTTGTTTAGATGCTCATGAAATGCTTCCTAAACACAGTTTATCCTGAAATTAAAGTTGCATTTTCTGTCAGGCTTTGGTAATTGAAGCCATTAATTTTGTTTTGTGAATTCAACGCTTTTGTAGCTGCTCTTCTGTTTACAACAAAAGAGATCACAGAGGTCACCCTGCCAGGGTTCTCCAGGTTTTACTGCAGAGCAGTGGTCCATCACCTCTGGAACTGCATCCTAGTGTGTGTTAGGGTTTGCTTTAAGCTGTAGGTAATGAGGTTATTCTGCATGTGTTCAGGGAAGAGCATTTCCTCTATATATTCTGCTCTATGAGTGAAGTTCTTTTGTGCAACCAAAGAGGGGTAGTTTCTTTTACATCTGTATCCACTGTGGATTCTTTGGTGAGAAGTAATGATATAGGAGCAGCAGGTTTCTCTAGGTCATGAAAAAGCTAGGTTATACCAGAAAACACTAAAGGTAATTTTTTATCATCACTGCAGAGTAATGACCTTGGTCAGGTAGCACAACTTGTTTGAGGGGACAGTAAGAACAGGCCCTTTTCTGCATTGTGCTGATTCTAAAACATCAGTTGATGTTTGGAGAAGCCAAATAAGTTTGTTACTCTTTTCTTGTCTTCGTGAAGACAAATTCAACAGTAATAACACCAACAAAAGGCAGAAGCTTGCTCAAGACTTTCTCAACTCCATTGACCAGACTGGAGAGCTCTTAGCCATTTTTGAAGATGATGAGATTGATGATGTCAAGCAAGAGCGAATGGAGGTAATTCTTTTCTTTCACTGGTACCCAGCTCCAGCAGAGAAAACTGTGAAATATTTCATACATCATGCTGGTCTGTTGCTTTTTTCATGCTGCATATTAAATCTTTGGTACATGTTTTTTTCCTTTTGCCCAGATGGTGTAAAGGAATCCTATTTCCATATTTTTCCTATTCCTTCTAATGTTTCCTGATATCTAAGCACACATGCTGAGAAGGAAGATTACAAAAGGGTAGTTATGGATCTTTATGTCTGCCATGTATTTGTATTTCCTTTCTATAGAAAGCAGATTCTATTTATAAACATTTCACACACATTTTTCACAATCATTTTTTTCTTTTGCATTATTCCTCTCGTTAGAAAATTGTTCAATAGCATTTGAGGACTCTTTTCATATAACACAGCTGAAATTAAAATATTCTGTGCAAACATGCTTCAGTATAAGCTCTACTCTCCATCCTTCTTTCAAGTCCCATTTTCTGATTTATGTAGTTATGAAAAGTTTTGTCTACATTACAGAATGCAGCCCACATCACTCTCATAAAGCTCAGTGGAATCAAGAAGCAGCATAGCTGTGGTAGCACGAAAATCTGTGGTTTTGGCTAAATTTTCAGTAGATGGACAGGACTACCCTGTCTTTTTGATAGTTTTGTCCATCACCCCAGTTCATGTTTAATTGCTCAATTCTTCCTTGTGTCTTCTGTGAGCAACTAGATGTCAAAGGCAAAACTGTGCTGGGAGCACACTCACAATTCCAGACTAACATTTAAGCCAATTTCCATCCATTTTTAGACAGCAATATAGAATACATGGCTGTTGGAAATTCATTATTTGTAGAGTGCTTTTTATACCCTTTCGGTGGGTGCATTGGTTGATTTTCTTTTCTGTGCTGAGGTGGCTCATGTGTTTGGGAGTATTTGTGTGTCAATTTGTTTTGACTACTAGGGCCTCATTTCTTTCAGGATTTCATGGAAAATTCTAGGAAATAATGAAGTTTTTATCCTGTTCAAGTTGTAATTCTACATTTTTTCTTCTTAATGGGGCCTCTTTTCAGAACTGCGACATTCCCAGTATTGTTTCCTCTTCTTTCTCCCCTCTAATGGGAAGAAATCAAAACCTAGTTACGAACCCCTTCCCTCTAAAAATTGGCAAGGAACGAGTCCCATTTCCCCCCAGCTGAGAATTAGTGTCATCAAACAGTTGTTCCCAACCACTGTTTGTGTTTTGGAAACCAATGGTTTCTTTTCTTTAATTTCTTACTTATTTATTTATGCAAAATGTTATGTTTTGCATAAAGGCAAAAGGCAGGCAAATCCTTTGAGCTTGTACAGCATTCTTCTGAATGAATGGGTTATGTGCTTGGCTTTGCATTCTCTTCTATCATTCTGGTATAATATTTTTCTGGTCTAAAAAACTACACAATTTGATAAAAGTATGAAGTTCCTTGTTCTAGGCAAGGGCAAATCTGATTCTATGTTTGTCTGTCAAGGAATGTGTGTCTGTAGTCAGATATTTGTCTTTCATCTGACTACATGTTTTGTTTTTTATCACTAGACTGTAATTCATTACCTGTAGTGTGTGTGCACATATATATACACACACATATATATATATCAAGTAATTCTTCTCACTATTGCTTGACTTTATTACATATTGTGAAGTGTTGATGTTTCCATGTTAAAAAAAAGAAGAAAAAAACAAAAGAAAAATCAAGGTCTTATTTTATAATAGATTCATGAAGCCAGTACTATGTATTTTCTTATTAGTCTCTAAAACTAATGACAAAACATGAAAGACTGTTTGAAACATGCTACTCAAAATGTTTAATGTATTTTTGGCTTTGTTTCATTTGGGATTTTGTTGTCACTTTGAGGTGGGTGGAAAGGAATCAAAGATAGTAGGAAATGTGATCCATTCCTAAAGGAAGAGTTGTTAGTGGATGGGCTGATCTCCTGAATCCCATTTGCTTTGTGCAGTAGATTGTTTAATCCATGCTAAGTTTTGAAGGAAGTCCAGTGGACACTTTAACAGTGTTCTTTGAGGAATTAGTGTACTTAAATCATGAACTGCAATCTAAAGGCAGTGTTCCTTTTAGGTATCAATTACCTCAGAAATGTGTGGTTATCTTGGTTTGGACAACTGTAAATGATTTCAGTTCCACTTTGCCTTAGGCCAAAATCATGCTAAGTTGTCCAGAGCAGATGATAAACATGTATTTCTGGTGTCATTATGGGCTAAACAGGATATGATTGTTTAGCAGTATGGTTTCAGTTATGATACAAAATGCAAATATTGTTTATGCTAATTTCTTTTTAAACATTTCATAAAATTAGAGCTAAGACTTCATGTGATTGCTTGCAGTGCTGTGAGGTCTATTCCGTATTTGTACCATGGAGGAGTAGGCAAAGCTTTGCTGAAAACATTACTAAAGGAGAACAAACAATTCTATGCTTCTTTGACTAAAACACACCCACCAGTGCTGTCATATTAGTAAGAAAGGGCACTCTTCTAGGATTGTATATAGAACTTACTGGTGTATCCTGTGATTTCAAATTGAAGCGAAGGGACTGTCTCTGGAACAGTAATACCAACAATGTGCAAAGGAACATGGACTACTCTTAAAATACAGGACAGAATTTAAGAATAAAATTCATGTTACTTGTTATAACACATTTTATCAATACATTGCAATTAAATGACTTAATATAAAAATAATAGCATTAAATGGTGGCAAACCAACCAAATGTATTGGCAAAATCAAAACAAAATAAAAAACTGGAATAGCACCTCTGTCTCACCCCTTAACAGTTACTGTTTTGCCCTCCTGAGGTAGCAGTAAAGCACTAGTGAAACACTTGTCCGAGTTAGGAACAGTTATAGATGGAATAAACAATTCTCAGTCATAGCTGTAATTGAACTGTGCACATGAAGGAGAGATGGATCATAGAAATTGTCTTTATAATGGGTGACAGTCTCTTGAGCTACATGAATGGCAATGTACCCACACTCCGTGGTGCTCGGGAATTCCCTTCCTTTGTCTGCTGTGTGACAGAATCCACAATAAACAAAACCTTGCAAGTGGATTGCAATTTGGCTTTCCTCTGTCTCTTAAAAATCATTTAGAGAGGAGAGTTATATTCCTCTGGGATATGGCTGAATGGATGTGGGAAGAAGGAACATGTTCATTTAAGATCTTTGAACTTTTCCTTATTTGCAGTTCTGGTAGGGATACAATTTTGAGTGTCCTTATGTTGCTCCTCTGAACCTCTTGAGTTCCTGTCCATAGTTAAACCAATTGCAGGTTTGGCTGTTATTTTGTGAATTGTAGCTCTACTTCTCCTATTTTTTTCTGTTAGAACCACTATAAAATTCTGCATTTCATGTCGCTAAAATCACAAATGTAGCTGCTTTAAAACTTCGGTCAACATAATTGCAAAGTTAAATTCCCAGTAATACTGTAAAGACCCATTTTTTTATCATTTATTTTATAGCTCCAATACCTCCCCCAGGAAGAAAAAGTCTTGCCATCAGAAATCTGGACTGACACAAAGGAATGCATAGAGCATCACGCTGTGAATGCTCTGTTTCACTTTGGTTCCCATAGGATTAGGAGAAACACCATTCATCTGTCACTCTGACTGCTAGTTTAGGGATATATTTCCAACACTCATATGTTAAATGGCAATAATTCAGTTGCAGTAGCTACCATAATGCTTTCATAGTACATTGCAAGTTTGAATAAACAGTGGAGGGAAAATAACTTCCCTACAAGAATAGACTACCTTGAAAGCAGGCTGGAAGCCAGCAAAATTATCCCTACTTTGTGGTTCTTTTGTGAGGTTTGGAACTAGATGATCTTTAAGGTCCTTTCCAGCCTAAACTATTCTGTGATTCTGTGATTCTATGATTTGTGTATTGTCCTATGAATTACATTAGATATTTAAAAACTACAGATACATATTTTTATTCTAGGAAGTTCATTGTGGATGTGATTTTTCCAGTGTTGCTCACATATCTTCTCTTGGTGGGAAATCTGTACAAAGCTCACAGCAAGGCAATAAGCTCTGTGCAAAAAACAGTAGATTGCATTACACTGTAGGTGTGTTTGGAATACATAGGTTTTTACATGATTTTTAATTACTCCCATTTAGTTTTGTCTTTCTGCAGACACAGTTAATTTGTGTCCAGACAAGACACCTAAACACACCTGACTGCACTTTGGGATACAAGGAATTGTGCTCTGCAAGTTCACTCTGGTTTAGTCATAGAAATAAGATGGAAGTAATAGTAAACTAGGCAGTGACCAGGAATAGACCTTCCTGCTGGAGTATCATCATCTGCTTTTGAGTGATCACACTTTGACTTGTGCCAGGTTATGGTGTCCCAAACAATGTGCACCTCTGGGGCCCTCAGCACAGGAAAGACATGGACTTGTTGGAGCAGTTCCAGAGGAGGCCACAAAGATGGAGGCTGGAGCACCTCTACTATGAAGACAGGCTGAGAGAACTGGGGGTGTTCAGCCTGGAGAAGAGAAAGATCCAGGGAGACCTTAGAGCACTTTCCAGTGCCTAAAGGGGCTCCAGGAGAGCTGGAGAGGGACTTTGGACAAGGGCTGGAGTGATGGGACAAGGGGGAATGGCTTCAAACTGATGGAGGATCAATTTAGATTAGCTGTAAAGGTGAAGTTTTTTACAATGAACGTGGTGAGGCACTGGCACAGGTTTTCCAGAGGGGCGGTGGATGCCTCACCTCTGGAAACATTCAAGGTAAGGTTGGACAGGACTTTGATCAACCTGATGTAATTGCAGATGTTCCTGCTTATTGCAGGGAGGATGGACTAGATGGCCTTCAAAGGCCCCTTCCAACCCAAAATATTCTATGACTCCACGAACCCCTGGGAGCCAGCAGAGCCAGGAGCTCTCTCCACGAAACAGTTTGGATGTGGCCACTCTCTTTGGGATTCTTGGAGAGCATTAGCATGGACACAGGTTGCTCTGTGGTGAC